CAGGCATGAACTTCTCTTTCAGCCTCCTGATTTTGTCCTCAGTTATCTCCTCCTTCTGAAAACAGCATGGACATCAGTCTGCAGCTAATGAGTTTTGGGCATTTCTGGGTCCTGTTTACTTATTTTTTTAACCTCTGGGAGTTACAGTGAAGTTTTCCTTCAAATGTGAACCAGAAAAATCAAAATGCTACCAAAAAGCTACCATAGTTGTTTTAATCGTGTCTGACTTTTACAGTGGAAATGTTAAAAAAATACAAACTGTAGTTCAGAACCTCGTTTGGCCAACAGGAAACGATTCACTCATGGTTAACCGTTCTCACACATCTCTTACCTTCATCCCGAGTTTGTGCAACGTGTGTTTAAAGAAGGCCTCCAGCTCACTGGCTTTGATGTAGCCGTCGTCTAAGACAGAAACAAAATGATGGTTTTTCTGTCACTTACTCTCGAGTAGAACTGCTTATGTGACACTGATACAGTTTCACTTCTTTCTTCCAGCTAAATTGGTTCAGTTCTTCTGCACGAGCCGTTTTCAGAGAGCTGAATCATAACAGGATTTACTGCGACGGTTACAATCTTTCCAAACAATGTAGTTTGTTTCAAATTAATTGTTATAATTCAGATAAATACTGAGTTTCCTCTTAAAGTCACAAAGTTGAGGCTGGAACTGAAGAAAGTCTCAACAGCTTGATTAAACCCTGCACTGTTCACACGTATTATCATTATCTCACATATTCACTTCCATCAGCTACAAATCACAATCACAACAATTTATCAGTTTATTTTTGTATTTGATTGTAGTTTTACTTTGATTTGAATTCCATCATTATTTTCTGCTTAAGGACTTTTACATTTCTTCGTGTCCTGTTCCATTTTATTGATTACTGTACATTATTAAGCTATTATTTTATTTAATTATAGGTCTGTTTGTTAAACTGCTGTAACATGATCGTCCCAGTTAAAAAAATTCTTTTTAAATCTCACTGGTTTCATATCACGTCAAGTTTTGCACTTTGTATTTAGAAGCAGTAGCAAATTCAAATCAATTTATACAGTTTGTATGCCAGATATCTTTTTAATACATTCATATATCTATATATATTAGTAATTTAAGGTCCATTAAAAAGCTCGCCTTCATACCATTTATGTCAAAATGTTGCCAGATCTGTAAGAATCCTGCAGCGTCCAGTCTGTCCAGTGCGCTGTCCATGGTGCTTTAGACCAGTCTACAGGCAGAGACTGGGGCAAGAAAAGAAAAGGAAGGAAACAAACGTGCCTGACGTCCTCACAGAGAGACAAAGACGGTCTGTCCCCCTGAAATAAAATCTGCTCAGGCGTCCCCTGAAATCAGCCAAATGAGCATAAAGACTTGGTGGTCTGTATATATGAAGGGAGGGGTGAGTGAGAGTGCCCAACAGACATGCGTGTAAAGAGAGCGAGAGAGAGACACAAGTAAAATAATATTTATTGGTATAAACATTCAAATACAGAAATATCTGAC